GGAGCCCTGCAAGGGGGCAAGTCCCATGAGAGAGAGAGAGAGAGAGAGACAGAAGTGCAAGTGCAAGTGCCTCTGTCTCTGTGTGTGTCTCTCTCTCTCATGGGACTTGCCGGAGGGCCATGGGAGGGCCGCATTTACATAGAGCAGGGAGGGCTGTTCGAGGGCCGGATTAAACCGGGCCGCGGGCCGCAAATGGCCCATGGGCCGGACTTTGGACATGCCTGCTTTAAGTGATTGATTATATGCCCTCAATTTGATTTCAGCTCCCAGTGACTGCATAGATGGGTTTTTAAAATTATTTATTTCTATTTTGTATTAGTATGGTTGGTTGCACAGACACACAGGTGTTTAGATTGGATCTGGCATTTTTGTCACCTTATCGAGTCCTTCCCAGATATTAATAATATTAAAAGTATTGTCACAGGATGTGAGCTGTTCCAAGCAAAACTGCCTTTTGCAATTAACTGATGATAATTTTGTCAATGCCAATGGTGTTCAAATAGTGCTTCAGATGTTTTGGGGTGGCACTTAAAGTGCCTATTACTATTGGTACTATTTTTGCTTTCTTTGGAAATATCTTCTACTTCTATTTGCAGATCTTTATATTTTGAGACCTGCTGTCTCCAGGTATTGTCATATCTACTATCCAGACTTTTTTTTGTCTTATCAACAATTGTTAAATCTGGGGTATTATGTTGGTCCATCTGTTTTAAATCTAAAGTCCTAGAGCACTTTAGCTTCTTCATTTTCCATGACTTTTTGCAGTCCCATTAATTCTTGCTTGCAGGCAAATGATATTATTATTATTATTATTATTATTATTATTATTATTATTATTATTATTATTATTATTATTATTATTATTATTCATTAGATGTGAACCTCAGTCAATTGAACATTCAAATTATTATTATCATTATTATTATATTTGTTCAATTTATGTGGCATCAATTTATATTTCAAACAAGCAACTCTGAGCAATGAACAATCACAAAGTAAATTAAAACCAAATTACAATCACAATAAGAAAGAAAATGAAGTATGTACAGCAGCCGAGAAGAACGACAATCCATAGATGTTAACATAACCAGGAAATAGGACCCTTCACACAGGACCCCAGACCTAGGCAATTTTATTGTTTATTTTACAGTATCCTATTATTTCAGGTAGATGTTATGATAACAATGTCGGGTTGGAGGTGGTGATTTTAATTCATCCCAACTCTAGAACAGTGCAAGTTCAGCAAGGCACAATTAGAGCTTGGAACATTTTGCACACTGTCTGTGTGAAATGGATGATGCGCTTCTCCAGCAGTAATTTCTGGTCTTTCCAAGGAAATAAAAGGAATTTGTACAATGTGCTGCAAGGAAGCCCAAAAACGATCATTTTTATAAGGTTTCTTGAAATGTTTGAGTCAAAGATATACAAAACAGCTGGCTTAGCAGCTTAATTAAAAAACAAAGCAAACAAAATGCTTAAATTGGATGGTTTCTAATCAGTGTCACTGCTGATGTTCCAGAGGACTTTGATAAGGCTCATTTGCATAATAGAAGATCCCTTTGGTCTGCTGTCATTTTATTGCCAGCAATAGCTATATTGTTATCTAAATTACATAAAAGATGTTGCCAAGCTATTTTCTTCCCATCTGAGAATAACAAAGTTAATTGTTCAGGGCCTAAAGCAGGAGTAGGCAATCTTGGCTCTTTTATGACTGGTGGACTTCAACTCCCAGAATTCCTGAGCCAGCCATGCTGAGGGGAAAGGGAGAGTTTCCAAGCTGAGCCATGCTGGCTCAGGAATTCTGGGAGTTGAAGTTCACAAGTCATAAAAGAGCCAAGGTTGCCTACCCCTGGCCTAAAGAGTGGAGATTTTGCAGTGAAAGAACATGACCTGTTGAATTTCTACTTTCCTTATAGCTCATCCCAAAGGTGCTTTTTCAAGAGGCAACTGGACTTTCTTGTTTTGCAGTAACACCAGAACTACAAATTGTAGACCTTTTCCCAGCCACAGAGTCAGCCACCAGGAACAATAAACTGGCAGAACCAGAGGTAGAACAATTAAGGATGGAGGTATCTGCAGCCCTCGCCAGTGCCAAAACACCCCCCTCCAACCTCACAATTCAAGAAAGGACAGCAGTGACATCCTTAGGAGGAGACCGCAAACATGAAAGTCCAGGTGCCTCTTCAAAAAGCACCTTGGGGACAACCATGACCTGGATGATGGAGAATCTCCATAGACCTCTTTATAGCTCTTAAAGTGTAAGAGCTCTCCTGCAAAGGGTTGTTGTGATAGCCTCACACAAAAACTGTTGGGCTCTTCCATGACAGGATTTTCATCCAGACTGCAAACCAGCAAGCTTTTCTCATCATCAAATCTTGGTGGCTGAGACACCAGTTTGTTGAAGGCCTACATCAGTAGTTGGATTCAGCTGGTTTGCACCACTTCGGCAGAACCAGTAGCTAATTTTTTGTTGCCAAAGCCCAGAATGGACTTCCGGAAGTGACATCCACAGAGACAACCGGTTGTCCACATATTTGAATCCCACCACTGGCCTACATGGTAAAAAACACATGCAAACATAAAAGCTCAGCAACTTTGCTGAATGAAAAAAAAAAGTAGGTGTAGAATAATTATTCCCAACTGTTTTAATTGAAGCAAAAGCAAAATTGACTTTCGAAACTAAATTAAACTGTGAAATGAAGCCAAATTAGATGTTTGGTATGGAACACCATAAAGGGCCTGAAACAAAGCCATCATTTTGACTCAGCCCAAGCCTTTTCATGAGCTTCAACTGGGGGGAAATTCAGAAAAGTGCTACAGATA